GGCTGACATCCATCTTGCAAGTCTGCAAGCACTCCTCCCCTCTTTTCCCTTTACTTCCCCAAAAAGCAGGGAGGGTCCCTTCTGAGACGTTTGCCATGCCCTGATTCCTTCTGAGGAATACCTTTTGCATGACAGTTCTCCCGTCTGAGGCTCTTCTCCTGCCTCCCAAGGTCATTCCCACATACCGTTACAATTATTTAGGTTAGATTTTAATTCCACCTTTGCCCGGGGGGGGGGGGGGGGGGGGGGAAGGACAGGGACTTGGAACCTAGTTTTAGGGGAATAGGTATGGATTGTTTTTGTAAAATTTAATACAAATGTAATAAATTAATTAATAAATGACACCCTGCAAAGTGGAGCAAAAGGTGGCAAAGGTGGTGTTTCTTCCAGTGATTTTTGTTTCTCCTAACCACAACCATCCGATCAGGTAAGTTGGGTTGAGAAAGAGGGAGGGATGGGCCCACTCTATAAGCTTCAGTGACTAAGAGGGGATTGGAACCTGGGTCTCCCCACTCCCAGTCCAGCATCTTCACCACCTTCATCACTGGCATTTAATGCTGTCAAATATTAGTTTACAGAGCAGGTGGCCACGCCTAGCTCACCTTGAAAAGTGAAGCAGTCAGAGCTGGTTAAGGCTTGGATGGGAGACCACAAAGAAATCCCAAGCTTTGGGGCTAGCCTGAAAACCATCTAGGAGTAGAAACTGGCAGACTGCTTCTACATGACTACCAAGAAAACTATATGAACAGAAGGAGACCTTTTTCTTAAGATTAGTTTGCTGACCATGGAGTAAAACTATACTCAGGGGGTGGGGTGGGGAGGACGGGGACTTGTAACCTAGTTTTACGGGAATAGGTATGGATCGTTTTTGTAAAATTTAATACAAATTTAATAAATAAATAAATAAATAAATAAAGACACCTTGGCTGTGCATGTTTGCGCAACTTAAAGCAGCCACATCTGTTTTTCAGGCTCTCAGGTAAGCCTTAAGAAAAACAGCTGCTTTAATGAACAGCGGAGAACGGGAGGAGCATGGCTCCCAAATTGTTTTCAAAGAGTTCGCAGCCCTGGAAGTGGAGAAGAGGAGCAGAGCTGGGGCTTCTTCACGGTACTACCTAACGTGATGGGCTTGCTATCCATCTAGACGTTTCCACCAACAAAAGCATTTTAGGTGAGATCGATGGGATGGACGTGAAGCACCATCACCCTTACCTCTGGATGGCATCTGGCAGACCTTTGTTTAGGTCATGGCTGTCAGCAATTGGACAAAGAACTTCTTCCAAAACTTTGTCGAGGCTTGAGTGAGCTCTGCAGAAGGGGAAGGAAAAGAAGATGATTACTAGCAAGGACAGCCACAGTTCGACCGACTGACAGAGAGAGGCTCCTGATTTTTGTATCGTCGTCATTTACACACCCCTCGAGCTTATTGGCCTGGAAAAACCCATCCAATGTGATTTGTTAATGTGCCCGTTTTTGCTGGCTTAATCGAAATGGGCAGCCACCACAGATGTGCACCATGTTCCATGCACAAATTGTTCCTTGCAGGAAACAGCTATTTCTAGCAAGGCCTGTGCTAGAACCAGAAGCTTCTTTCAGATGCTGGGGGCCAGGCGTGGTTCAATGTGGGGCTGTTGTGTTCCAGGCCAATGATTCTCCCCCCCACCCGAAACCTTTAGAGCAGGAAAGGCAGTTGAGGGAAAGGGTTCAAGAAAGGTGCACGGAAGATGTACGCTGTGTCGGAGTATCAGCGCAGCAGCCGTGGCCAGTGGGAAGAGCTAGGGAGAAAACAGAATATTCTGCACTGTTTTGGGGACAAAGGGGAAAAATTGGGCAATGGAGACACCCTTCCCCTCCTTCCCAAAAAGCACCTCCAGGGTCCCTGCAGATTTTGTTTCCAAAACCCTCCATCCTTTGTCACTGCAGCAACAGGTTTGGCCGGCTCGAAACTTCCCATGCGTCCATTCCCCTTGCCTCTGGTTGCCACAAGTGAGCATTGGGTGGCTGAGTGACTGAGTGGGACTTTAAAGTGGCCCTTTCATTTGGAGGTTAAGGGTCTCCACTTTGCCACTTCAGGAGCTTTGCGGCAAAGCTACCAGTGTATCAAATCAGCTGTAAGCTTTTCAGGGACATTGGCCTGTGGCTCCATCTTGATTTTTTTGATCCCACCTGCAGACCCCCTTGGATTCAGAACTGAGAAACAAGGGCTGGAAGAAGAAAAAAACCAACTTTGCAAATCTGTGCCATCGGCAATACAGAAGAACCAGAATGGAAAAAGGCGCTGCGTTGTCCCATATAAGATTGGGGGACGTGGAGGGGGGGAATAACCCTGCCTTCTCTAGCAGTCTGAGAAAATCGTTTTTTTGTTTTTTGTTTTGCTTAAGACACCAAGATATGAAGGCAACTCAACGTCTTGGAAAACACAAAACTTTGTAGTTAACTCAATGGCTGCCAAGCAGAGTTAAGTGCCCTAACCCTGGGTCTCTATCCTTCGGCACCTGCAGGTGAAAGATTAATTAGCATACGGGCTTCCCTGAGCCGGCACCGTGCAGGTGTGATCGGACACAAATCCGCGGGTGGGGCCTATTGGAAGTTGTGGCCCCAACACACTGGGCTGGAGAAAGGGTGATGTGGGGGTTCTGCTCAGCAACAATGGAGGCTTCGAGGCTTTGGAAAGATCAGGGGACGTCACGGGACCGAAAGATCTCTGGGGGAGGAGGTCAAAAATATCAAATTGGTGACCACAATGCACGTATAAAATGTGCATTATCTCTCTCACACACACACTATATAGATTATTATATACATAATTTTATTTTTATATATTTATATATTTATAATTACATATAATGATATATAATATAACATGGCCCCACTATGACTGATACTATGCTCTCTCTGTGGGGTTTGCACATTTTAAAATGTTTAAACTTTCAGATAATGTTTACATTTTAATAATCCTTTTTTTTTCAATCTTGTATAATGCGTGTTTTTATCCGTTTGTTATTTTATTCAATCGTTGTCTGCCGCCCAGAGTCACTTTGTGTGAGATGGACGGCTATAGAAATGTGACATATAAATAAATACATAAATAAATAAAAATATAAAAGGGAAGGGGGCCTTGATCATGCACCC